TAAATTGATAAAAAAATAAACAATGTCTATTTCAGTCATTTTAACATTAAAAGATCTTTCATAAAAAAATTTACCAAATAACTTTTTACTTTACAAGTACTTTTATAAAAAATTTTACCAAACACTTTTAACTTCTCAAAAACAGCCCTTCTACAACAGATTCCATCTAACAGAACTTCTATTAAAAAGACCAGCCACACCAAACAGGCTCGAAGCCTAAGAAAGAAAGACACAGCCAGTTTTTTGCGGACCCATTTAAAACAAATGTGTGTAGGCTCAAATATAGGTTGTTGGGGAATGGGCCCCCGTGAAGCTGCCCAAACACAGGCCCTTATATTAACTAAAAAAAAACAAAAAATAGGTAATTTCCATTCTCAGTTAACCAAAAAAAGGAGAGTCGAAGATCTTCTAATCTAATTCACGCATTCTAAATCGTTTTGTTTCTTTAGTGTACTTCACCTAAAAGTTTTGATTCCATGTAATCTGAACCCTCCCATTTGCATTTGACTTAATCTGGTTCATGCATTTGAACTAGCCTCAATTTGGTCCACTTTTTTCTCAATTGCATCTTCATATTTTTACTTGTCTCAATTGAGTCCTAAAAACTTCTAAAATCACTCGATTATGTCTTTGCATGTCTTAAATGTTTCATTTAAAGCCATTTATACAAAAAATGGTTTTATTACAAGTTGAATAAATTCCTAAAATTTAAAGTATGCAATTGTGTTTTATACGGAAGATTATGAGATGTATGTACACTCTTCCTCATTCTTAATCAAACTGCGAATCCTAATCTCTTGTAAATTAGTGGTAACCTACTCCACCTTTATTTGATTAGGTGGCAACTTTGATTTTTTCAATCATTAAAACTTAATTTTTCAAATTTAATTTATATTTTAGAAATTTGAAGTAGGGCATCAACAGTACCATCTCTTAACTTACCCTCTCACATATTTATTACTTTAAGCTATATCTATCCTCACATTTCCTTTTTATACTAATAATTTATTTGTTATTATTCTATCCTTCCATCTCTATTATTCTTCTTTGGTCAGATGTTACATTTCCATCTATCATTATATTTCTTTTTAATCCAAATTTTCTTTCTATCTATCATTAAATATTTTATGTTTTCTTGATATTACAATAACATAAATATTTTAAAATCATAAATAATTTAATAATATATGTAATAAATTTATACCATCCACATCATGAATCTTAACAAACATAAGGTAAAGAACCTATATTATTTCCCTCCATTTCCCACTTCATATTAGTGATTTTTTTTTTATTATTCTTTTTCCTATTATCCTTTCATCTCTATTATTTTTTCTTATTCATTCATTTAAATCTTAATCTATCAAAATATCTCTTTTTTACACCATTTTTTTATTCTCGATACTTTTTTCACTTACATAAACTCTTCATCTTTTGTTAATTTTTCTTAGGTCTTATTCTCTTAGCTTATTCTCTCACCTTTTATTATTTTATTATCTACTATACATTTGCTCTTATTTTCTCTCTATGTATTAATAATTTATTTGTTATTAATCTTTCATTCCTTTTCCTTATACTTATTCCCTTAATATTATTTTTTCTTAGTCATTCATGCATCTCTATTTATTATGAGATTCATGTTTTACAAGATGGACCGTACATTAAAAATGTAGCCCGCATTATAAATTTATTTAAAAAATCATTAATGAAATAATATAAGAAATAGTTTTATTAAGAGTATTTAAATAATTCATAAGATGAATTGCACTTTTAATGTATAGTCTATCATGTAATAATTTTTTTTAATTTATTAATATATATCAATTTTACCCTTTTTTTTCTCTCTCTCTCTCTCTCCCCCATGTTGTGTGTATAATAAAATTCTTTAACTATTTATCTTGATGAATATATTGAGAGCCTTTAAGGATTCTTACTTCTTTATTATTTTTATAATTTTTTGATGATTTAATTTAGACTTTTGATAAAAAGAATATCTAAACATTTTTAGGTTTCTTATAGAGGCTCTTTCTTTACTTTTAAGTTCCCTGTAAGTGTTCTTATTACTTTGAATATAATATAATATGTATCTATATTAAACACATTGTATGATTGAAGTAGAAGTCAAATTATATATTTGGGTAAGTTTTTTCAACATTAATAATATGTAAATATAGAAGACAGATTATTATTTGGTAATTGAAATAGAATTTAGGAATAATTAGTTAAAAGTTAAATATAATTAAAGTATTATTAAGTATTGTTATATGAAGAATTAATTTAATAAGAATTATATATATATATATCATTCTCACCAAGAAATTTAAAAATGAATGCATTTAATTTAATCGATCTTTACCTTTCTCAATGGATTTTCTTTAACAAGTCCACTAGATATTTATTTGAGAGTTTAGAGAGATTTGAAAAGATTTATTGAGTATTTATTCAGAATTTATAGAAGATTTTAACAATTTTTATTACAATGCCATATCAAATTATAAGTGTACAATCCTGTATGACATTAAATGAGTATGATATGTTATTAAATAAGTAAATATATATAATATTATGAGTATACTCCTAAATGAAAAAAAAAAGAGTTAATTATATAAATATATATCATACTATAAGTTTACAACACCATGTGATATTGTAACTATAGTATTTTCATTTTTATAATATAGTAAGATTATATGAAAAATTATTTTAATAACAAATTATATGTATCATGTTCATCTAGAAAGCTGAAATTTAAAAGGGTGTTCAATTTAGCCAAAAATAAAGGTATTAATTTAATTTAAGAATTTTCTAACATATGCTCTAAGAATACATTTATTGTATCTTTTCACCATTAATTTGCATAGCAATAATATAAGCTGACTTAAATTTTATTAATCGTTCAATTAAATAATTATAAGTGGCATTGGTGTTAAAAATAAAGTTTACTTTCGTAACTTATTTTACAAATTAATGATAAAAAGTGTAATAAATATACCCTTAACCTGTTAAAAAGACCCTTAATTTAATTAAGCTTCAACCCCTTAATGAGTTTTTTAAAAATATTTATTGTATATGTATTTGAGATTTTGGAGGAATTTTAAAACAATGTTGGGTATTTATTTGAAATTTTTTTAAAAAATTTAAAAGGTTCATTAAATATTTTGAAATTTATTGAAAATTTTAATAATTTTTATAATATAATAAGATAAAATAAAATTTTAAAGTTTTAATTTTTAATCAATCCTTAAATTGTCTGTATAGAAAGTAAAAAAATGTGAAATAACTAAAATGAAAGGACAGGAGTTTTAATCGAACCCGAGATCATCTATGTACCTCACTTAAGTTGTTAATTTTTTTTTTCCTAGTGACTTAGAATGACAAAAGAAAAGAAATGTTGGCAAAAGGTTTCTCCACAAATTGCTCTACTTAATTTTCTATATCTACATATGAAAGATTTTCTTTGCATGTAAAGTAGACACCAAAATGCCACAAAGTTAATAACGAGAAAAACAATCTAGAATCTAATCCATTAAAGGAGGCAGGAAAGTATAGATAATCCAAGGAAAGGACTACGTCATATACTAAAATTAGTAAATTATCAAAAAAAAATAAAAATAAAGCTACTAAGAGAAGAAAAATGAATGTGAAGAAAATATGGGAATTAAAAAACCATACCTGCTGGCCTGAAACTTGTGCTTCTAACTCTGAGAAGGCAGAAAATGCAATAGATTTTATCCCAAATGAAATGATGCCTACCTGGATATCAAGTAGATAATACAATGCAAGATAGTAAGTTAATAGATATAAAAATGGAGAGAAAAAGTGGTTGTTAATTTTGCAGTGAAAGCAGTTGTTATCATTTACCTTGTAATATAAGAGGCAATGAAGAGAAGAAGGTAGGGAAGGTGGAATGATACTAAAACAGCTAGCACTTTTTAATTTTGCAGTGAAAGTAGTTGGTTTGCTGAGAAAGACTTCTGCAGTGAAAACAGTTGGTTTGCTGAGAGAGGCTTCTGCACCTGCTAATTTTCGTCACTTGATTTTGAGCGACGAACGAAAGGATAACAATATTGTTAAGGCTTCTCCACAGATAGCTCGTAAGCACGTACTATCCGGTTAGCTATACTTCCTAGATCAATTTTTATTACATATATTAGAGTAGAAACCAAATGCAGTAAGCAGAATATTAAACCAACATATATATATCGAATCTAATCCTTTGGAAGAGGGAGAGTAAAATCCAAGAAAAAAAATATGCGAGAAAAAAGTTTGTTAAATCATTTATTCAATAATAAATTGAAAGAAGAAAATGTACCTTATTTTAAATGACTGTACTTTCTCCAAATGACTTATTAGAATGACAAAAAAAAGAATACGTCCGACGAAAAGTTTCTCCAAAAATTGCTCAGATTTACTTTCTATCTACCTACATTAAATATTTTTATTACATATAAAGTAGAAACCAAAATGCAACAAAGTAAAAAATGATAATAGCTAGAATATAATCCTTTGGAAGAGGTAGGAGAATATTATTGTCCAAAGAAAAGACCATGTTATTTACTAAAATTAAAAAAAAAAAAAAAAAGCTTTTGAGAAAGAAAAATGAATGTGAAGGAGGCAGGGATGGTAAGTAGTGTATATATATATATATCTCTATATATGTGTGTGCACACACGTAAGTACGTGTGTGTACATATATTGCAACTTAAAAATAAAAAGGAAAAGGACAATGATGTGGACACCCAATGGCAACATCCAAATCCACGCTCATCTGACCGGTAGAAGTAAAATGACAAATTTACCCTCCTCATAGCAAAACTCAATCGAGCTCGCTTCCCTTCATCCCTCTGTTTTCCATCACCATCCTCACCATCACCGCCACCTTCTTCCTCTCCCTTCATCCCTCTGTTTTCCCGATCATTCTTCTTCTTTCCTTCACCTCTTTCTTTCTTCTT